GACATTAAGATTAAACACCCTAATTAGTAGACAAAGGCAGCTTTTAGCTGTAATGAAAAGGATTCAAAAGGTAAGGTGGTTGTTTTTGAAAAACACTTGGAAATGCCCCAGACCTTCATTAAGGCTCCTTGGCTCAGTCGTGATAATAGAAGATCAATTACAAACTTAATCTTAAAGACCGTCTATGAGCATTTGTTTTTATTATGTGAGCATGATGAGGATACGGCTCATTCACATCCAGTAGTTTGTGTAGCACTGTTTATTTTACTTCTGCTACTCATTACTAGCTGAGGCCAATGTGCTCTGTTGACAAAGAGCCCCATAATTACCCTGACTTGGACTGAAAGCTGAGCTCTTATTAACCAAACAGAGGCAGATAGCCTTTTTTAAAACACATGTTCAGAACTCCTGGAAATTCTTCCAATTTTGGGAGTGAGCTGCATGTGTGAATGCAAACAGGCTCATTTTGCGCCACGACTTTGTCTGTCATCATTTCTACAAGAAGACGCGTGAGCAGATGTTTGAAAGTAGCCAGGAAAATCCACTGAGAGCAGACAATCTGGGTGAGGAGGAGGAGGAATCTCAGAAGGCAAGGGGAAGAGATTTGATATACAAAGAGCGTTGTGGAAGTGGTAGACGAAGCAACAGAGTTGGTCGGTATGATGACATTTTTTTTGCTTTTATCTCAATGCCACCTGTAGTTTGACATATTCATAATAACAGAAAAGCAGAGAAGAACCTACTGGTAGGGAGGGGTATGTGTTCCCAGCCCCCAGCAGAGAAGAACAAACCCCCGACCAAAATATGTTCATCACCCTTTTCATTCACTTGTAGTGTATTTTCCAGAATATGTTCTTGCTGCGTTCCCACATCGTCTCTCCCAAATTTACTACCGGGCAGCAAGAAAATATCCAGGTTAAGTTGAAGAGAAAAAGTCGACTGTTTTTGTTCCCACATTCAGCTCACCCTGGAAATTTCAGGAAGTTTTCAAGATTTTTGTGCATGTGTGAAAGCACAGTAATTGTTCTTTTGCTGTCTTGCGAGAGAAGAGACAGAAGTTGTGCAACCGGCTTTTTCTCTTCAGCGTCTCCTCCCCCCCATCTTCCCTACCCGTCATTTCTCCCTCTCTCTTCCTCTACCCCTCTTCAGAATAACCGCTCACATCTGGTTTTGAGTCAAGGCCAGGTTGGTTTTTTGTGGAATGGAGGGCTTTTATTTCTCAATTGCCCCCACTCCCTCTCCAGTTACATACTGCGGTGGAGAGTATGCTGTTTGTTTACGATTTGGTGTCCCTTTTCTTTGTATTGATAGTACTCAATCCTCATTTTCATCATTGGGCAGCTACACAGTCATACCCAATTATCATCCAGGAATGAGCTGGTCTGCTGCTCGGCTGGTGGTCGTCAAGGCTTTCCTGTGTCGCCCTCCAAAGTGTCAGTTCCCTTTGAGTTTTTACTTTAACTCTACATCGTGGAGCTCTCTTACTTTTTCTGTTACTCACTCACTCTCTGCATTGAATACAGGAAATAACTGAGATAGCTTGTCATGAGTAACTATTACAACATAAAGGCATTTGTGTTTTTTTTTTTTTTTTTTTTTTAAAGGCACACAGCATAGATTTGAATGCAAAGCTGTGGAACCTACTAAGAAATGTACTGGAAGAAGCATGTTAAAACCAAAGTATTTCAGAAGGCCAAAAAGCTTTAAATCATACCAAAAGGAATAGAAACAATATCCTGTTTTGTTTTTTGCTCTCGAGCATATGTTTGTAATCGGATACGCATCCGGTCGACTTGCTGTATTTCATATCCTGAGGCCAGAGGAACTCAGTAAACAACCTTCACCTGCTTTTGAAGATATTTTTCATATTCATATTCAACATATTCCACACTTGATACAAAATTATACATTGAAATAGTGCAGATGTAGAGCAGGAGTCACAATCATAAGAATTGGAAAATAAAAAAAGCATAAAGGTAACAACAAAAAATGTAAAGGCAGCCAGCAAACCAAGAGTTTATACATCTACCTAAGATGTGTGTGCTCTTAAAAAAATGGTATGGTTTGAAGAATGGACTAAAAGAAGCATGTGTGTGTATATTTAGGAGGTGAGCTCGAAGGGGGGGTGTGGGAACAAAGATGTGCAGTGTTTTCCAGTGGGAGGATGGGTAGCAGGCAGGCAGAGAGAGAGAGAGAGAGAGAGACTGCTGGGGGATGTCTGATGTCACCTGGTAGGGAGCTATGAAAGCTTCCCCTGGTTACCCTATCCCACATAAAAGTCTGGCAGCAGGCTGAGGCTTTAGGGAAGCTTGGCAGAACTGCTGCATTAAACAGGAACAAACATCACACACACCTCTGTCTGTCTCTAATGTCGAGGTGTCTCTGTTTGCATGGAGCGCTGTCAGCACATATTTCAAATGCTCTGTTTTTTAAGACGAGTATCTTGTGTCTCACATGTGGTTTTCCATCATTCGCCCCCGTTCCTAACACCACACTTTTCTATTTCTCTATCAGCGTTTTCATGTGTTTTTTTTTCACTGGTGGAAAAACAAGGCCCACTTTACTCTAAAATGCTAACACATTTACCGACAGAGCAGTTTGTGATCTGATAGCGAAAGAATGAGAGCTGCGAGATGCCAGAGCGCTCTTAATTACACATGTGATGGGCAGATGTGGGCGATGCGGATGGAGATGCCATGTGTTTAGACGTTAAACTGCAGACTGCGGTCGGACCCAGCCTTCTCTCTCATTAGCTCCCCCAAAGGATGTAATGAGCATGGAGGTGGTGGTGCTGCTGCTGGTGGAGCGAGTTAAGAAGCCATGTGTTTAACACAGGCCCCGCTGGCCCCCTCTTCATGCACACAGCAAGACGTCTCCTCATATCTGAGATTTTAATTAGAGACGCTTTTGGCAGTCGGGTTGATTGATTTGTTTCGTTATATTTAACGCCGTCTTTCATTTCGAGGTGCTCACACCTTGCTCGGTGGCCTTATGGGAAGAAGGATGAGAGGAATCAATGTTTGTCTTTGATGTTCCTCCGAGCTGCAGAACAGTGTGTGTCTGTGTGTGAACCTCCTCTCTCTTACATGCTGCCCTTCATTAAGGGACTGTGGTACAAAGCGAGGGAGATAAAAGCATCCAGTGCAAATAGGAAACACTGGAGAAACCACAGAAGACGGAAAATGAGTGTGTTTTTTTGTAAAGGGATGCACATGCGCTTGCCTGGTTTATAGTGTGTGTGTGTGTGTGTGTGTGTGTGTGTGTGTGTGTGTGTGTGTGTGTGTGTGTGTGTGTGGTGTGTGTGTGTGTGTGTGTGTGTGTGTGTGTGTGTGTTGATTAAAGACTGCTGCTTGTTTGTGGCCAGGGACCGGCACCAGTTGTCTCCAACTTCCCCAGAAGTCTTCAGGAATCTGTTAGAAAAGAAATAACACCTCCACCTCTCCCACTCAGAAATAGATAGGCCATATCTCCCTTTAACAAACCACATCCTTCTGTGCTTCTCCTCTTATCTGCTTCTCTCCTCTGCCATCTTTGTTCTTCTTATCTCTCCTTGGCTCCTTTTCCCCTTTTTTTTTTTTTACTCCACTCTGTCTTATTTATTCCTCCTGCCTCCTCCCTGGTTTTCCTCTCCTGCTCTCCCTTCGTCTCCCGTCTTTGACTGTTTTCCCTCAATGCCTCCGGTGGCCAATTTACAGAGGGGTGTCCGAGCCTTGACCCTGACACTCAACCGTCCCCCCCCACCACCTCCCTCAGCGGTGAAGGTCAGGGCTAGATTACAGGCTGTAGGTATCATCCTCTGAAGTGAGGAATAATCACGGCCTGAGAGATTGTTAAATAGAACCACAGGCCCTGGCGCTGACATTACTCTCAGAAAGAAAGAGGGGAAGGGAAGGAAAAGAAAGGAGAGGAGGGCGGTGGGGGGGCTCGTTCACCTAAACGCATGCAGATGTTCAGACTCTGGCTAGAGCCGGGGCTCTGTTGAAGGTACACGGAGTTCTTTTGTTTCAAGCATCTATCTGTTTTTTATTTGTCCCGTTTCGGTGGGCCTCCTTGATTCAATCTGGAGGGATTTTATTTCAAAGTGTGTGCAGATCAGCTTAGAGGCCTGAGAATGACGTAAATAAGATGAATCATTTATTGTTAAAATACTTGTGGTTTAGGGCCTGTGCTGCACTTAATTTTCATTGTTTCCACAATCCAGTGGTAATTAAAGAAAGTGTGTGTGTGTGTGTGTGTGTGTGTGTGTGTGTGTGTGTGTGTGTGTGTGTGTGTGTGTGTGTGTGCGTGTGTGTCCAGCATAGAGGCCCAGTTGCCTTTTCAATAGAACATGCCTGTGCAATAAAACATATGTGGGATGGATTTGATTTGAATACATTGTGGTTCTGCTATATGTAGGATATAGATTATTCACATATGACAGTAACCCCCCCCCCCCCTTCTACCCCTTTGTCCTGCTTTTGTTTTATGGCTATGGGATTGTGTTTTAATCAGTCCCATCCTTTGTGCGTGGAAATTTCCATCTGGCAATTATTTTCTGTTCAAAATAAATACACACATGTAGCTTGGAGCTCTTTGTGAGGCTTGTTTTATATAAACCAAACTTCCCAGAGTTCAATTTTCAATAAGAAACGCAACAAGATGTTTCCAAACTTTGAGCTTCTTCTCCCTTGTCCAACTCAAGCAGCATGAGAATAAAAAGATTAACTTAAGCAGAGAGGGAGAGAGAGCTCAGATGATGAAGTGCATCATGGGTAATTTGAATGGATATGAGAGGGGTCAAGTCTGAAGGGAGCTTGGAGAGATCTTGAAAGCTTGGCCTTGGTCGCCCTCACTGTGTCCCAGAGAGTGAAACACAATAAGCGTGCAGATGTTCAAAGTGTTTGGTCGCCCTGGAGCCTCCAGCCCCTCTCGCTCCCTCATCTGAGTAGGAAATGCTTTAGCTGGAACTGTTTGTTTTCTCTCTGTCTGTGGTCTGAACTGTAGATTCACTTACATCTCTGACCCCTCCTCTCCTCATGTCTTTTCTTCCCTTGTCCCAGGGGTTTGCAAATGGTGAGCTGAAGGAAGGACGACTCGCAGATCAACACTGTCCCCTAGAGGGTAAGATGAGAAGGGTATTGTAGCCGTCATTGATAAGGATTATGCTTGTGCTACACGGACCTTGAGCATTATTTCAGGCTGGAAAGAAAATATAATGTAACCTTGAAGCTGGTATATATTCATATGCAGAGAGCTGTATGATATCACTGTAGACGTTCATATCTTCAAGATACTTAGTAGTTTAATTTGCATGATAAACATTAAACAAACATTAATATGTAATTATTCTTCACAAGATATACAAGTGTTGGATTGTTGAATGTTCCAAATGCACAGGCCCGTGGCATCAATTCAGGTTAACCTCATGTAGAAGTATGGGGGTGTAGGTTAGTGCAAGCACCCCATGTATGGAGGTCCTACTGTACAAGTGTACGGCCCAGGTTCAAACCCGACCTGTCGCTCCTTTCTCCCATGTTATTCCCCACTCTCTCTCTCTCCTGATTTCTGACACTATCCTATCCCTACAATAAAGGCTCAAAAATGAAAAACCTGTGTAGAAGTATGAAGCATAATAACATGTACATTTAGACATGTTCTGTAATTTCATTTTAGCTATTAAAGGCCACAAAGTCCGACATCAAGACATTTTGGTTTCTTTGGGCTGATTTTCTGTAAAGTAAAAGTAAATTAAACTACACAAAATGTTGCCTCATGTCAGTGTTGTTGTGTCTAACTCAAATGTTTCCTCTTGTGTTGACAGTGGTTCTTCCTCCAGAGAAGCTGAGGGCTGTGAGAGCTATCTGCAGTACCTGCACTCAGAGGGTGGTGAGCGAGTGATACTCAGAGACAGGACCAAAGCTCCCGGCAAGAAACGCATCAGTCTGGATGTAAGGAGTTAAATGACCTGGAAAGAATGCAATTCTATGATGTGGTTAAATGTCCAATAGCAGTACAACTTGCGTTTTTAAAAACAAATAGACAAAAAAAGAAGTGGCAAATCAAACCTCGACCGGAGGTTTATTTTCCTGTGCAGGCTTTTTCTGAAGGGAATTGCTTTGGGTTTTTTTTTCACATGCTTCTCATCTCAGAGTCGTACAGCTCCTGATGCAATGTACGACTTTGAGATTGTTTGAGCTCTGTGGTGAAACAGAGGACCTTGGTGTTGTGTTTCAACATTGGGCCTGGCTCAAGCTAAAGTGGAACAAGGGAAAACACAAATTAAATTATCAAATAGAACGCCAAACGAGTGTTGCTTCAATTCTCAGACCTATTTTGGGTCAGAAAAAAAGTCTCCTCTAAGCCATCAGCCAAGAGCCATGAGAGCTGAAAGTGTTTAATGTTTCAGTGAGTGATTATTATTGAAATATAGGTTAGAAAATACACGCATGGCACATAACATCTATTATAACCTCTGCTGTGTGCCTTCACCCTGTGCTCAGAACATTTGTGTGAATATTGTTACCACTCCAGACCATATCCTGATTGGATTAAGGACCAATAAATAGAATTAATAGATTGTAATGTTTAGACTTACATATTTGAAAGAAGTGCTTGAATCTGCCCTTTAGTGATCCCTCCTGGTAATGTGAGACGGGGTGATAATATTGAGCTTTAAGGTGCTGCATCTCTCCCCCGGGGTTCCCCCCCCTTCTGAATGCACACTGGCCTTCACTCCATCCATGCCTGCAGCGAGGCCTGTACCCCAGAAGTTTATTTTTACAATTAAGACCATGTTACCAGATATATGTTCATCAAAGTTGCTGCCAACGAGTTGTAACTGAGAGTAGGGGCTGCGCTCATTTCTCCTGGCTGAAGGTAAAAACACAAGGTCATAGTGGCAGTGCTCACCACACAGACTTTTTTTCCCTTTTTGCTCCCAAAATAAGGTTCAGGCAGCTGAGATGTGATAAGCTTACATGTAGAAAAAAACTATATATATATATTTGTCTTCTGCCCTGGTGGGCGGTAAATGATAGCAATGTACATTTTAATAGGAGCAGTAACCAAGATTGTGTGATATTTACTGAATTTCCAGGTATTAGGAATGAGGATACCTGTACCACCTCCACGTCCAACAGAGCGGGGTGTGTGTGAGAACACTGTGTCAACAGAAAGAGCAGCTGGTGTGACTGTGTTTTCTGGGCGGATCCAGGTTTCAGTAAGGGCAAGTGCCTGAATGTCTGACATTTTTGCAAGTGCTTGGATGAATTCAGTTTTATTCACAGCAGATTGACAGTTCCAGAGGCCAAAAGTAAATGAAGGGTCGGTAGAAGAGGCTTTCTTAAGCAGAGACAAGTTGTACAGATTGCGTTGTCCATGACAGATGTGTCTTTTCCTGTTTCCATGAATGACAAGAGATTTCTTTGTCGCACATGTTGCGTTTAGCAGATGACCTGAGAAAATAGGCAAAGCAGTAGTCGTGGATGCCCGGGCTCTGTGGCCACGCTGAAGCATGAGACGCCCACTATCAATATCTACTCAAAGCAAGTTTCGATTCACCCACCTAGCTGACAAGACCTTCCTAGTTTTCAGATCAGAGCTTGTTCTGCTGGCAGTTTCGGAGTCAGACTCTTTTAAGCTTGGATTTTCGTTTTGATCTTGACATTGAATAAAAAAAATATACAGATTAAATCATGCCACTTCTTTATATGGATTAAGTATGACGTTAAAGTACATGTGTGTATCCACAGGACTTGGAGTGTGACGTTTCTGTGGAGGATGGCAACCGTCAGGAGTGGATCTTCACCCTTTATGACTTTGACAACAGTGGGAAAGTTACAAAAGAGGTGTGTGTGTGTGTGTGTAATTATTAATGATGTTTGTCTTAGAGTTCTAATTTAGTTAGATATCAATCCACAACCTGCACTGATTGTGCTGTATCTGTCGTTAAAGGACATGTCCAGTCTGATGCACACTATCTATGATGTGGTGGATGCCTCGGTGAATCACTCCTGCAACAATAAGAGCAAAACTCTGCGAGTCAAACTGACCGTCACTCCAGAGCCCAGGTGCCACAGACGAGAAACAGGAACAGGTAGGTGACAACAAAAACAGCTTTATATCTGGCAAATTGTCCCTAATGCTGTGAAACCACTTAGTTTGTCGGTACATTTTTAGATTTGGGGCGTAGTGTTTGATCTAACATTCAGCACTGCTTAGTTCACAGTTTAGCTCAGTCTTTTCTTTTTTTGCATCACCTTTGGTGTTAAGCATGAAATAACTGCACTGTTGTTTTTCCAGATAACTTGTAGACAATACTGTACTGTTCCAAGTATATTGGTGTTACCAGGTCACTTAAACAAGTTTACTTTTCATGACTGAGGCCAGCTGTCATTCACAGCGCCTGGGGGATGAAAGTTGTCAGCTTATATTTGGACAAATTTGGTTTGTCTTTTACTGTATATCTCCAAATGTAGATAATCCTCTGTTCAACATCTGGTTCATAGTATAGAAAATATTCATGGACTTGCAAACTACTTTTATCTAATGAAATAAATGAAGTAAAAAACTCTGTAGGACATTTGCTTTGTTGGCCTACCTGGTGTGGTTTGTTTGGAATGAAAAATAAGAAACCATAAGTGTGCTTTAAATATAGGAAGATTAAGAACAGCAACCTAAAGTATGAATTATTCTAAAAAAAAATGTTATTCACCGCTTGTAATTCAGATCGCTGTCACCAGGATGAGGGGCGTTCAGCTGACAAGCGGTTGTCCTCCTACACCAGGTGAGAGCCCTAACATGTACTACTCTTTACTTTAAGAAGTCCTCTGTTTGTTGCCGGTTGTTTGCATAACACGCATTCTCTGTTTTTCTACTTATCATGATTGCTTTTACTTTTTTTAAAGCAACAAAGGGCAGAACAATGAGACGCCGGCCACTGAGGGTCAACATTACTGTGTGGATGAGAACACAGAGAGAAGGAATCACTACCTGGACCTGGCAGGTATCGAGAACTACACCTCCAGATTTGAAGGTATATGTCTTTTCATTTTCTTCAGAGCTTTCTTGTTGTGGTGCATTTTTACTATTTTACACGCAGGTTGAATGTGGACTTTGTGAATGCTAACTGGAAAAAGCAGGTCAAAGTAATGTTTTAATGTGTTTCTTGTCTGCCCTTCAGGAACCACTCCTGCCACCCCTTCCCAGGAGCCTCATGTTCGAAGCTCCCAAAGTCAGAGCCGCTCACGCTCCCAGGAACCAGACAATCATGTTGTTCATCAGCGTCGCTCACAGGTCATCAGTGACAGCTACAACCCCACAGAGTCTCGAACCAAGGGCACACAGTTCATCAAATCCCCCAAAGGGAACTACAAGGGAGGCGCGGGGAATAACGGGGTCAGCGGAGGTGGCAAATCGGCTAAATGTCACGGCTACCACCCGCCTGTGCACAGTAGCAGCGCTGCAGCACACGGGGGTCAGGATGTGTACCACTTGCCGCATCAAGGCCAATCGTCCGGCCACCACCAGCACCCTTTGCAATACAGTCACAGCAAACGCCTCAGGGCGAAAACCCGGGAGGCCATGTCCCCATCCAAAACCCCCCTGTCCCCTCAGTCCCACCCCCCTCAGCATCCTCCTGTGCCCTCTGTGCTGCCCAGCCTAGAGAGAGAGCAGGTTTCTGGTCCACCAAACAGCCCAGGGTTTGTGGTTCCTGTGGTACAGCGTCACGAGCACCACCATCACCATGAACACCACCACCACCACCACTACCACCATTACCATCAGACATGACCGTTCTCAGAGTGCAATGACTGAAACTGTACAGGACCAACCACAACCAACCAGAAAGACTTGATATCATCCCACCAAAGCTTCTCACACTCTGTCCAGGATTGTTTATTCCCTTCTTTTAAGCTATACAGATATATCCTGAGATTAGGTGTAACGTGGATCATATTGGACTGGAAGGATGTTTTTCTGAAGTTATTAGGTAATAACAAAAGATGTGTGGCACAGTTTCGATGTTTTTGTAGACTTTCTGCTGGGACTGCTCAATTGTAACCAATGTTCATTTGGACTACAAATTCCAGAGAGAAAAAGCTTGGGAGATTTTTTTTGGGGTTAACATCCTCTCCCTCCGGATGCTGTTGGTTTGAAGTCCCTGTAACGAATGACACCACAGTAGGTGCATTGTTCTGGGTGAGACCTTTCCAAAAAAAAAAAAAAAAACATGGATCTCAGGTGTAAAGGTGCTGCTGCTCTCAAGCTTTTCACAGAGGCTTCTTCCTCTGAGGGGCCTGATCTGGACTGAGGGGTTTCCTGTTTGGGGTGGGGTGTGGGGGATATGAAATCACCACTGCCAGTTTTAATGCAAAAATATCTCGTTATATGTATAAAAAATCTATATATGTAAACACATTGTACTGTATAAATATTAAAATGTATATGCATATGTCATCATGGATATAATTATGCATAGTTTGTCTTTTATATATTTTAATAAACATTATATAGTTCATTTATATTATTGCATTGACCGCTTTTTTCTACTGATAACAAACCTGGTCATGGTGTGTTTGCTGCCACCGTGTGGATGGGAACAGAACAACAGCAGCAGCACAAAACTGCTCAGCATGTCATCTGTAAAGACTTGGAACATAAAATTATAATTTTTTTTAAATCAAATAATTATGACCTGACTGATTTGCAACTACTTAAACTGAAACGGAAAGTATATTGTCTTTTAGTTATTTCAAATTAGAATGAAGAAATTGCAATGATGCAATATGTGGCTTGAAGTAATTTGAATAATATCATGTAATGTTGTCTTTACGGACCAGCATACAATGTCATTAAAGATTGGAGAAGACACATTTCTCACATGCTACATGATCATACTGCGGGGACAGCTGCGACGTACTCACCCAAAAGCAGTGCTTTTAACTTGATGGCGTATGATTGTAAGTCCACAGTCAGCCGCTAGATGGCAACAAATATGTATCAATGGTTCATACAGTATGCTTCTGAGGGAAGTTGATGCTTCTGCTCATTTGATTTCATGGACATTCATTTGAAAGAAGTCTAGAACTACTTTTTGTTGCTATTTTACTGCAAGTTATTGATGCTGATAAAATGTGAAAAGTTTGAAGCTGCTTTCAATTGGGGGGGAAAAAAAGCGGACACATTTCCAAAAGATGATTTGAATTCAGTAGGCCCAAAGGTCAGTCTGTGGTTACAGTCATAAAGATATGGAAGAGGTAACTTAATACTGTATTAGTAAAGTAGTACACTTCCGCCCCCTCCCCCAAAAGAAAGAGAAATTGACTTATTTATTTTTCTTGCAAACACTCTACACAGTAAGAAGTTTTAGGTAGGTTCAAGTTATTTGACATAATATAGGCTCTAATAAAATACAATTTTCTGAGGCTAAGCCTAGCTTGATGCTTAGTTTTTTTAGGGTTGGATTCTCTTCTGAGCCTTTCCATAGAACGATATGAAGCATTATCAGAAATGGTATGGGAACATCTCCGGCTGAAAATGTTTCTGAATGTAGGCTATAAAGATTTTTTTTCCAACAGAAAGGTCTGTAATTATCACAATTAGCACAAGACAGGTGAGCTGTGAAACCACAAAGATTATTAGTCCATGGCTCTAATGGTCCCATCAAAATTGGGCTAATGATGGTCCTGTCCTTAGAACTCTTTTGTTAGCCTACTTCCTCCTGGGAAATGGAGTTCAAGAGACACTTACAATCCCATTATCTTACATAATGTAGCAACTTCAGGTGTTTCCATCACCACAGGAGGTCAAGGTGTCACCGTCCTGAACGTGCAAGTGTCACGTGACCATTCACAAACTCGTGTACCTGTCATTCAAGTACAACTTAGACTAAGAACGCCACTACTCCAAGAGATTTATGATAAATCAGTCACGCAGTTTCGTCCTAGATTATTTAATGTCTTCTAAATAAAAACTGTTGGCATAATAGTGTCTTTGTGTCGACGTGCTTTTGTTAATTGCCAGGCTGCTCGGCTCAGAGAAAGCAGCATTCCCTGCTTCGGTCGTCAGGGATTTAGGGAAGGACTGAATCCGAGCCCCGACTGGGACAAACAATGGCAGCTATGAAAGGCGAGGGGAGGGTCAGCCTAATGCAAATATCCACTTTGTGCGCCTTGGAGAGAACCTGCACCAAACACTACCAACTTCCCCGCAAAGTGAGTTACAACTTAAGACGCTAACTTTAAAGGAACTTTTGGCATTTTGTCGCCGTGTTTTGAAACAAGTTTTCGGAGTAAAGGTCCTAACATGGAGGCTTCATTGATTCAGCAACAAGTGGGAAAACGGAGAGGAGACGGTCTCTGGAGACAGGACACTGCAGCAGCTTCAAAGTGTGCCAAATGCACCTGCTGAGGGACAAAACAGAGAGGTAGGAGAGGTTTAGCCTCAAAATACAAGCGCAACATCCCCAAGTCTTAAAACTTTACTCTATGTTTGTTCCCCCCCATGTTTTCCGCTCTTTTCTCGTACAAAAGAGGGTTTCCTTCTTTTTTCTTTTTTTTTCTGCAATCCTCGGTATTACTTTTCACATGTGTGTACGAAGTTTCCAGGGAAAACTTCACTCTCAACTGCTTTTTTTTCTACAACAGTTTGGTTTTGACCCACCTTTCTTTCCTTCTGTGCGGCTTATTTAGTGCAGCTAAGCCTGCCTCAGGAAAACGTGATTATCCTCTGACCATCGATACGCTGGCTTTCATTCAAGACATGCATGAGAAAGGCTTTGCAGCATAATAGATCAGTGGGAGCCTGTCTGCTTGTATAGACGAGGGGCAAACTGAGGGGAATCTCACTTGAATGTTGATATTGTTGGGTGTCCATGAGAGGGAATTTAGATTGTGAGGAAAAATGAATGCAACATGTGAGTTGGACTGTAATATAAAAGTAGGCACACACAAAAAAAAAAAAACGTGCAAGCAAGTTTGAGCAAAACTATCCGGGATTAGTCAACTTTGAAGCCCCTTTAGCTTTAACTCTGCAGCCTGCAGCCTTGCCAGCCGCGAGCAAACATCAGTGTAGTGAAATGCTACTGTAAAATCCCAGCATATCCCCCCCCCCTGAGAAACATCAAAGCTGACTCAACATGAGGCCAGTATCTGAACAATTGCTCCATTCTCCCCTGCACCCCAACCCTGACCACCCCCACAAACCCCTCATTCCCAATTTCCACTTGATTAAGCCCTAAACTGAGCAGAGTTGAATCTTTGGGGGGAAATTGTTCACTAATTCTGACTCTCAAGTCTGACAAAAAAAAAAAAAGGGAGAGAGAGACTGTTGTCTCCAATCTAATTTGAGTCTGATTCAATAAGAGTTTTCTCTGCCTGATTGAAAACCATAATGTTTGGAGAAATAGAAAATGAACAAGTGGTTGTGAGGTTGGCGGCTGACAGCCAAACTTTTGAACTTCTTATCAGTTTGATCATTTAGCCCATGTGTAATATTTCTTGCCTTATAGTGCACAAATGCATTGCTGCATTTTGTATAAGGTGCCTGATAAATCCAAAGCTCCCTCTAACCGATGAACAAAATAGATGCACAACTTGTACTGCGAACCCAATGAAATTCATTGGCAGCATCTACATGTTAGCATTGAGCAACTTTTTTGTTTTGCACTGAAATCCAAATATCGTTGACAAAACCAGATCTTTATGATCTAAAACACATCACACTGCTTGTTTGACATCCATAAAAAGGAAATGACATTTGTTCAACTTTGTTGTTTGTTTGGATGCAGACACTAGTTTTCAATGATTGGGTGTGAATGCCACCAATGCAGTTTATGACCATGCTTAACAATTCAGTAGAACGAGCTCTGACAGCTCCCCTTTAAGTGGCTCTTTATTGCTGTTTTTATAAACGACAGTTTCTCTTCTACTTCAAGCTTAATTGTATTTTGTTATTATTGTTATTAAGTTAAACAACACAGTTTAGATTTCCTTTTTTCTCACTGTCAGTTTAGTAGTATTTATAAGCAATTATCTCCATTGGTGAGTAAGCAGGAGCAGTCTGCAGACAACTGTACACATTCTCTGTCAGATGGTGAGGTTGCCGGGCAATGTGAGCTGCTGGGTGAAGGCTGCTTGATGGCTCATTTGCTCTCTCCATCGCTTTCTGTCTTGTAACCCCCCCCCCGTCTCTCCCTCTTTGCCTGCCTCTCCTAATCTGCATACTAATAGAAGGACCAAAAGCAGATTAAAAACAGGGCCTGTCAAACTGATTATTAATATTCTTCAGTTTATAGTCTGCTTTTAACGAAAGGAGTTTATGGGAACTTTGTCTATTGTTATTTTTTCTATTTATTGCTTGCACTAATTCGCCGTAAAATACAGTAGACAGAAAGTCTGGAATGCATGTTTTTATCCTGCTCTGTTCTGCAGGAAAGTTCAGATTTATGGGTAAGTATCCTGAGGCCGGTACCAGAGGAGGGCAGTGTTCAAGTTCTGTTGAAAGCACGAGAGAGGAGCATTACATCCACGCGTAACTGTTCTTGCTTTCATGTGCTTTAGTTAAATTGAATGTTAGTGAAATATATCTGGTATCAACAATACATTGACATTTTGCTGCTAATTCAGCAATTTTTAAGCAACTTTTACCCTTTGTATCCACTGCATCTGTAAACAGGAAGGAATCATAAGTCGGTGATAACGACTCACAAACAGATGAAACGAGTGTTTGGTTTTCAAAAAGCGGGCACTCAAAGAGGACAGATATTGATGAGAGTTGCTGTCAATCTTCTTTTTGTCCCTCTTAAAATGAGGACGTATAAGCAGCTTGTTGGTAATTTACAGAACAGACTCAGAATTTTCCCTCAAATTATTATTATAAGTGGATGTGTAAAATGTTTTCCATTAACTTTTACTCTTTTAAATTGTGTGTAAAGCTCAGTATAGATCTCCATAATAGACTTAGTAATATTTGTTTTCTGTAATAATGAATCAATACCAGATGAGTAAAAGAAGATAAAAGAAGCATAAAAAACATTGTAGTATTAAAAACAAAGCAGTTTGTCATTGAGGGGTACCTCAATTACCAAATTTCTCTTCGTGATGGGCCCTATCCTCCAGAGACAGGTATAATTAGAGCAATGGAAACAGGAAACACCTCGCCCTCCCTATCGTTTTCTCTCTCCCTCCCTCCCCCCCTCCCTCTCTCTCTCTCTCTCTCTTCCTCCTTGTTGCTTTCTGCTCAGATGTGCAGACATGTTTTTTTGGTACAAATTATCAGTTGCAGAGACGTGGAGTAAGGCCTACTGTACAATGAGCCCTGTGATGTTTATCAGCGTGTCTTACATCCTTAGGTTTACTGGAAATGAGGACAAGACTTGTGCCTGTTTTTTTTTCCCACAGGAAGCAATTAGTAAGATACATATTTATTGTGGGCAACTCTGTACAAATTCAAACCTTTTTTATTGACTTCTGTATTTGTGTAAGAAGAAAGAAACACCATTCATTTTAAATTTAATCTCCCC